CCCCCTGCAACATGTGGAATCAAAAGCTAGTTTCAAACTCTTTGGTACAGAGGGTGACACACACACACACACACACACCCCGCGCACATATTTGTTGTCTTGATAGGTCGAAGGCTTGGGCTGAAATTGTGACCCACACGAGCTATAGTCTAAACATGTATTATAGGGGTTATTAAGGGGGATACTACTGTTGATACAAAAAATCCTGCATGACCTTAGTATACTATAGTCCCATAATTCCCAGGGTAGAAGGTACTTAGGGTCATGCGGGATTTTAAGTATCCACCGTAGGAGTTTAGACTATAGCCCACATAACCTCAGAACCTACATGACATCGCAGGTGGTGCCTTTCGAAAGCGGTGGAATCACACCTGCAGTGTTCTGGCTCGCGCCTCAGGGAACCAGTGTTGGATAAACATGTTAGTGTGATTTGGGCTTAATGCTCATGGACGCGACAGGCTTCGGTATTTCAGAGTCAGCCAAGTGCACAAAAGGGAGTGCGAAAAGAAGGTCAGAGCATGGATTCGCTGATCAGCGCGGCTCAAATTGAAACAGAGTTCAAACGTGCTGGAGTGATTATGGCAGCTGTGTTCTGATTATGGCTCATTCCATGCGCAGCTAAGGTAGAGCTTCTGAAAGTCTACCTGCGTCACTTTTTTGTGAACCGTCAAAATCAAGATCGTGGGCTCATGGTTAGGTTGTTTTGAAGATCCAAGCAAGGAGGCAACATCTTGAGACAGCCGATACAACTAACCGCTCATGACTCATCGTCAAAATTCCCATGTCACTCGCATTGAACACCAAAGCAACTGCTCCATGACGAATGGTTACGGCAAAGGTTTTATGCGTGGAGAGAGGTATCTGCAAAGGGCATGCCTGCACTTTCTGCTCAGGATGTATGTGGTAGTTTCCCAGAATACGGGAACCCAATAGAGACCCCCAAATTTGGGAAAGTCTAGGCCCTAAACCCTCCCCATATAGACTCGTTGTAAGGTATCCCCACCTTTTGGGAAACCCTAAACCCAATATATGTCCCCTACATAGTCCCCTTTTAAAGTATCCCTAATTTGGGGAAAGACCCCCTTTGTTAGCGTTGAAAGGCCTTTGCCTCATGGCAGCCTTGAGGCTTGCAGCCGAGCAGCTCCACGTGAGATATGCTGAGCTTGGGAAGATAATCACCCCTACAACCTAGGGTTTAGCGGTATACCCCTTAATAGCCACCGTAAAGGGTTTAGGGTTTAAGGTTTGGGGTTTAGGGTTTAGGGGCTAAACTCCTAGCATGCTCCTTAGCAACCCCTATAGTAGTCGGGACCATATATAATCCCCTATCTGACCTCCTTCAAGGAGTTTAGATTATGGCTCATGTACATTGTTGGATCCACCTTCGGGGTTATCAGGGCTCAAATTTAGGGAGCCCTGGATGTAGTTCGCGTCAGCTTCCGCAATGGATGCTAAGCTGAAGCAGTAGCCGTACATCATGTTTATCAATATCGCAATTGGGTGCTTCTCAATGCATGTTAGCGCCATGGCAATCCACCGAATACTCACAGTTTGGATGATGCTGGCCAGCGGTGCCAGCACTGAAAGCAGCCCCACCGAGACTAGGTTGCTGTTAAGGAACTTACTCTAAGTTACCATACTATGGGTATGAGTAAATGATGGGATTCCTTTATAGTAGCTTAATCCCAGGATTCCCTTACTCTGGTAGCTTTGTTCTAGGATTCCCTTACTATAATAGATTAATTATAGGCTTCCCCAGCTATAGTACCTGAATTTAAGTTCCCTAACAGCAACCCAGGAGATCACCAACCAGAGCAGTTTGATCCATTCACTGCGCGGGCGGCAACTGAAGCAGCCCGTGACCTCGCAGAACCTTGGGGCTTGTTCGGTTTTACACGGCTTCCCCCCGCTATTAAAGCCTCCCTAATATAAAATATCGGTTCCACATTAGGATTTGGGGGGTCCTTGAATTTAGGGGGAAAGGATTTCAGTGTTTTGGCTCAGGAACATGTTACGTTTCGCCCGTTTGTTACTGCTTTCTAGAATTGACGAACCTGGGCTGAGGTTTGAACTTGGTCAAGTCTGTGTAGACTTTCGCCATCTAGCACACGTTGATATGCTTTTTAAATGGAGCCCACATGGCTGCAAGCAGTTTATCGGGCGGAAGCTGAGTGCAGCCAAGGATAATTTGCGGCCTTGACATCACAGGTGCTGTGGGTGCTGTAGGCCAAGTTGGTGCTTCAGCTTACTTTGTGCAACGGAACCAGGGTCCTGTTGGACAAGTTTTGAAAGTTTAAAAATTTGGGAAGACTTTTCAATTTGTTTTGAGCTTTTGCACGTACCGCAGGCAAAGGACCTGTGAACATGTTGGAATGTGCAAGTTTACAGATCATAGGCCTATTTCTCTTGGTAGTCGCAGCAATGGCTCAGGAATTGTGCGCGGACACAAACCTCAGAGGAAACGGGTGCAGTCGAAAGGGCGCCTTGCTAAGTAGACGGGAACGCCCTAAGTAGGCCTTACTTGGGTAGATTTCTCCCCACACTGAACCCAAAACCCTAAACCTCAGCCTGTCGGGGATTGTCCTAAATTACTGTTAATACGGGGTCCTATATTTAGGTTCCTATTATAATACGGGGCCCTATGTAAATTTCCCCCATTTTGGGAACAGTAATTTAGGGAACCTTCCCTGTAAACTCGACAGGAGAAGGCAGCCTGCTCTACTGCTGTTTCTGCCTTGGTATCACGGGCAATGTTCCTTGCCACATTCCTCACATCCGCTGCTGCCACTTGCGCGGAGACCTTCAATGCACCCTGTACACCTACAGAAAGGGCAATAAGAGACATAATAATGCAAATAATTACCATTGTTATTAAGGGTATTATTAGCTCTAGTATTACTATGATGAGTGCTATTAAGGCTTAAGGCTTAGGGTCTCGTAAGGGTCAACAAAGTAAGGCTTAAGGATTAGGGTCTTGTCTGTAGTCTCCTTAGAAATTAATTGGGTTATAATATAACCGCAAGGAACTCTGAGGAATGTTTATTATATAGATCTAAGGGGACTACAGCTGTAAGGGTCAAGGAGTCGCAACCAGGAGAAAGCAGAACGAAACCCTAAACCCTAAACCCTAAAAGCTCCTCACAGGCCTCCCTTGCAACCTCTAACCCTGCATGGGCTTCTTCTTCCTACGGTAAGCAGGAGTTTCAAGGTAACCCTAAACCCTACTCCCTAAACCCTGATTCAGAAAATGGTAGTAGTTTCCATTTTCTTTTCCATTATCCCTATAGTAGTTTCCATTATCCCTGTAGTAGCAGCTAGGTACCTGTCTTTTGCGCCCATTCAGCTTTGGAGCTTACTGGAAGCCTGGGTCTCATCTCGACGGCAGCCTCCGCATTTCAGTTGAGCTGCGGCACGCCGACCCAGCCTCTTCCCGGGCCTCTGGCACCAGCTGTGAGACGGTTGCAGAACCTAGATGAGCTGTAGCCTAAATTCTTTAAAGGGGGTTATATAGGGGATTATATAGGGGAGTACTATAGCGGATATTAAGGGGGATACTAGGAGTTTAGACAGTAGTTCAGATCGGCTTTACGCTTGCTTTGGCTTCTTCCTAGCAGAAGGAAACAAGAATCAAGTCCGTTGTCGGGAACTTGGGATCCAAGGAGCCAATCAGAGCTTGAACCAGAGCACACAACAGCCTTGCTGCCTGCTGCCTCTCGTGACATGCTCTCGTCCGAACTTGTGGAGAAGTTGAAGGCCAGACTCCGAAAAAGAAGGGATCGACAGGCACAACTGTCAGATTGTGTCTTCACGACATTGGTCCTCAGTCAGTTCGCGGTAAGAGGCGGTGTGCTGCTTGGTTCCTGCTTGAGATCCCGCACAGGGTTTTATGGAAGACCTTCCAGAAAGAATTCTCCTGGCAATCTTGAAAGTTGGAACCCAGGCTAATCTCGAAGGCAGAGAGCAGCTGCAAGACATCAGAGGAAAACAAAGTGGCCTGCTTGACCGATGTCACTGGGGCCGTTGCGTCCTTAACAGTCATGGGCGCCTTGGTTGCTTTGGTGACCTCTGAGTGCCCCGCCAACAGGAACTTAGAGGCTTTGTGCGCCACGGATGTCTTGACGATGCTGGGTTGCTGTTAAGGAACTTAAATTAAGTTACTATATTGGGAAAGCCTATTATTTACTATATATATATATATATATATACCCATTATGGTAACTTAATTTAAGTTCCTTAACAGCAACCCAGGATGGTCAGTGCTATCGGATTTCTCTTTGAGTCCGTGGGCAAGATGCTGCTCAACTGTGATGTTCCTGGAATCTGGGCATGCTTGGAAGGACGTTGGGGACAGGAAAAAAGTAAACACATTTCCACCTGGCTATGTCATGCAAACTGAACTTCAAGTGCTAGCTACAAGAATTCAAAGAACAGGAACCCCAAGTGTCACACATAGTTCAACCTAGATAGCCTTTGTTCAGCCACATCAGAATGCCGCATGCAGCCGTAAGTTACTCAATCCTGTTGTTGCTGTGACAAGATGGACCACAAGAACTGGGCTGTGGTTAAGCAGCTTAGCATACATCATCCCCAGGAGATTCTGTGATTCCCTGAGTTTAGCTGGATTACAGTACCAAGGATCGCGTGTAGACCGGCTCCTAGCCCAAGACGGCGAGCTTGCGGGGGTCCTTGCCAACATCTGAGCCGCCAGTTCGGAGGCTCCTCAAAGAAGAGCAGGTCATACATGGTGAATGTAATGTAGACCCCTGATTAATTAACCCCCCCCCTCCCCTTAATAGGGATTATAATAAGAATCCTAAGATTTAGGCCCTTAAAAGGAGGGGGCTTATGAATCATGAGGTGGTTTTTCTTTCGCTCCAATCTTCTTCAGCCTGCTCTTAAGACTCTGGAACTTGTTCTACTTCTGTCCGGGTCCAGTCTTTCTCAACATGTCTGTGTTTACCCAGCCCACAAGCGTTCGAAAACAATAGGCAATGTTCTCCAAATATTGCCGCGCTGAAAAGCAGCGACGACACTGACACCGTCGGCCATGGGTGAAATTTCCCTGGCAACGACGGACGGCGCCGGAGACCCAAAGTGAAAGAGCAAGGAATGCTGTCGCTGGCAGATGGGCATTGGTTAGAAGGTAAACTTATCCGGATGTGATGCCTCACAAGGAATGGAGAATCAGTCTCGGTAAGGCTCCTGCTATGAAAAAACGGGAGCCGCAAAGAAGCTGTCAGCACTTTCTCGCACGTATCAGGCATGTTTTCAAGATTTGCAGTGTTTGTTTTATGTGTCTTTCGGGATTTTGTGGTTCAAGCTTACTGCAAGTTACTCAGCCAGTCAGTGCCTCTGCTGAAGGAGGCAGCGATAATTGCAGCCAAAATCTTACTATTTTTTGCTAGTGTTACTTCGAAGGCTCTTCCTGCAGTCACTTGCTTGTTGTGCTGACAGTAGTCCTCTTATACCCCACCTCCTGGCATTAAGTATGGTCTCCCATACATAAGGTCTGTTGTTGTGGAACATCTGCTATCAGGGGGTGGGAGGGTATGCAATATTAGTATGAGAGGATTAGCTCTGCGAAGTTGATATCAGAATCCTTCTAAGCTTACTGGCGCTTAGCAGGGAATATCGGAATTCTTAATGGAGGGTTTGGATCATATTCCCTGGCAACCAGTAAGTAAAATCAAAAGCTTCCCACGCTCCCGCCTGACGTCACGGAGCTTGTTCTTCCCAACTTTCCCCTGGGAATCTTGGGGGGGGTTCCCAAAATTAAAGGTCCCAAGCCTAGAACGGAGTATTCCGGAGTCCACATTGGGGTCCCCCTATTTATGCAAACAGCTATTCGCATTCTCCCTTTGGACCAGCCTTATCGTATTGAGGCCTGCACAAGATGTGGAGATTGCGCGTAGGCAATACCCCTAACAAGCAAGTTCCAGACGACGCTTTCAAACTTTGTGAGTTTACTCATGTCATTTGGCGATCTTGGCAGATTCCTATATGACATTTGGTTCCTGAGGATGGAGTGCGCATGTCGGTCCTTTGGTTGAGGAAGTCTCGAAGGTCGAGACCCCTTCTGCTCAATGTTAACCATTTTCAGGAACCATGCATAGATGAAGGTGGCGTAGTAGCACATACATCGTTGAATGTAAGAAGGCCTTCTAGCAAACCTTTCAAACTGCCAGCGTGGTTGCCTCGATGCATTTCCGAGGACGTGTAGCTTCCAGCCGCCCAAAGGCGCGTGCAACTTTGTTTCAGGGGCTGGCAGTAGAAAGTGCGAGCGCTTGGGGCTTGAGCTGGGTTCAGGGTTTGGAGGGGCGTCAAAGTTTTGGAGCCTTTGCCACTGCGACGGTGTTTGGTTGCTTGGGCTGCTGTTAAGGAACAGCCCAGTACAGGGTCCAAGGATCTTCAGAGTCGAACAAGACCCCTTGAAGACCAAAAAGACATTAGTATTGCTCTTTCTACTCTTGCGATTGCCAGTTTGCTTACCATTATTACTATTACTATTCCTATTTCTAATACTATTACTATTACTATTATTGTTATTACTGATTTTACTATTATTATTATTACTATTACTATTCCATTTTTACTCATACTCTTGTTATTTTGAACCAGCAGGCCAAGCAGGCCACACGAAAATCCTGAGTTGAGGGCGTTTTGACTAGATCACATGCTGCGAGGGGGTCCGAAATCAACCAGGAATATATAGGGCTTATGGTTTAGGATCTAGGTTTAGGTTTTAGGATTTAGGGTTTCGGGCTTTGGGATCTAAACTCCTTAACGGCGGTTATATGGGGGGATTATGGGGACGATTATGACGGGTATTAAGGGGGATACTAGGAGTTTAGACTATAGCTCCTCTGAATGATTTTAAGGAATGGTTTAAGTTCCTTTCATAAGCAAATCCTGTTATTTACCATCTACCCATATTATGGTACCTACATTTAGGAAACCCCATTACTTACCATATACCCAGACTTTGGTAACTTGACAGCAACCCAGTTTTCATCCATTCCGAAGTGCCGCATAGCCATAATATGGTAGCTTAACAACAGCCCTATACCCTAAACCTTAAATCCTAAACCCTAAATCCTAAACACTAAACCCTAAATCCTAAACCCTAAACCCTAAATCCTAAACCCCCTAAGTTATGAGCCATGGCAAGGTACTACCTCCCTGACCCCGTTCGCCGCCTTTAAGCTCCGCGGGGCCGGGCGCCCGAAGTGTCATCAAGGCAGTGGGCAGACCCTGTTGACTACAAGGTTCCTGAAAATAGTTTTTAGGGTTTAGGGTTTAGGGTTTATCTGTTACCTAGAATCCTAATATTTAGCTGAAATTGTAATTTCTACTGGGGCCCTTAGAGTTGAGTCGTATTTTACTTGGGAGTTACTATGGTGCCCTATGAAGAGTAAGATACTATCTAGTGCAAAGACTCTATTGAGTAGCACCTTATTTCGGGCTTAGGGTTTAGGGTTACCTAGAACAAGAGCTGGGTAGTATCCTATTTGGGGGTACTATAGTCCCCCATGTAGAGTAAGATATTATGCTCCTGTTGGGTGTGGTGTTTTATATCGAAAACATAACAATTATTCCTGACATCAACCCTTTAAAACACGTTACTCTGTTGGCATGAGTGCTATCAGAGATGGCAGCGAAGAGAACTAGGTCGCCGCAAGCCGCATTTTCCTGGGCAGTTTAAAGCGACCTCACCCTAAATGGTGGTTCATATAGGGAATAGTACCAACGTGGCCTTAAATTGGGAATTGAAATTGCTGTCAATTACCTGGATTTCCCTAGCATACCTACAGCTGAGTAAGACCGAGCGTCCCAGACTTTCAGCCAACTCTACTCCGCAAAAACTGCTTTTTAGGGTTTAGGGGTTTGGGGGGTTTAGGGGTTTAGGGTTAAGGGTTTAGGGTTTAGGGTTTGTGTAAGTCCAAAGGCCGCCCGTCCTGTGACAGGGCTTGATTGAAGGGTAGAGTGTCGAAGCGGTCATCAGCCCTAGATTTTGGGTACTGCCCCCACCCAGTAACAGTCTATATTAGGGGTCTTATTAGGGGCTATATATAGCCATATTATACTTATTATCCAACTGTTACTGAGAGGGGGCAGTACCCAACCTAGATTGTTTGTGCTCATGGCTTGGGTACTGCCTCCCGCTCTGTAAGTTGGATAATATGCATAAGGTACATGTACAGCCTTTAACATGGCCCCTGATGTGCCGAATTCATCTGAATCCCAAACCTTAACCCTAATTCCCTAAACCGTTACCCTTATCCCTAAATCCCTAAACCCCTAAACCTTATCCCTGAATCCCTAAACCCCTGGACCTTAACCCTAAACCCCTGGACCTTAACCCTAAAGCCCTAAACCCGCAACCCCTAACGTTCATAGCTCAGCACCCTCCTCCCTGGCAAGGTCTGGAAAGGTGAGAGTATTGGCTGGGACCCCACTCAGGGCAGCAAGGCGCGACTCTCGGTATAGGAACGAAAACACACAAAGGGTTTAGGGGTTTAGGGGCTTGGGGGTTTAGGGTTTAGAGGATTAGGATGTGGGGTTGAAGGGTTTCCCAAAAACAGGGGTATTTTTCCGGGATCCCCATACTAAGCCACCATATTCTTTTGGGATCTATATTGGGGCCCCATATTCAGGGAAACTACCAGATGGACAGGTTATGTCGTAGAAGTACCCTTCTAAGCCTGCGGATGCCTGGGAAAGTTGTCTTCAAAAGGAGACATCCAGAGGGTCGGCAAGCATGCTGGGTTTAGGGTTTTAGGGGTTTTGGGTTTAGGGGTTTAGGATTTAGGGTTTAGGGTTTAGAGTCTAGAGTCTCAAGATAAAAGTC